CTGGAGTAGCCAGCCAATCAGGAGGGCGGTGCCACCTCAGGGAATGACGCTAGGGCCAATGGGAAGGGCACTCCATTCCGTCAACGCAGTGGGTTAGGACTCTGAGAAAAGAGAGCTAGGGCTCTGAGAAAAGAGCTCTGGGTGGGAGTCGGGCCAGGCTGGTGTGTGCCCAAGGGAGGGGAAAAGAGAGGGAAAAGTTCCTGCGAAGAACTGCGGGCGGCTGGAAATAACTCTCTTCCGGCCTAGCCGGCCGAGGGAGCAATAGCCCCTTCTCACGGATACCCTACCACAGCTAACAGCGCAGCGCCCAGGGACGCTTCGCCACCCGTCACTCCAGTCCTTGGGATTCCAGTGCCTTAAGAAGGACGCTGTTCCAGAAGGCACGTTCGTTCCGTTCTGTATTTTCAACCCCTCGGTTTCATTTTTCTCCTTTTCACAATTGCTGGAACCAAAATGATGGAGTGAAATATGTAACCTTTCCTTTTCTTTTTTTGTTTTATAATGCTAAAGCTTAGCAAAGAAAAAGAACGCTGAATACAGGGTTTTGGTGAAGGGACATATCAATAAAACAAAACGTGATAGGGTTTTGCTTTTACCTATAAAGATGCAAAAGTGGGCTCAAGAAATGCAATAGCTTTGCACATTAAATTAGAATACGCAAATATTAAAAATGCATGGACTCAGTATTTACAATTCCTCATGACATATTAATATTAATCTGTTTTATGTAAAATTCATACCTGTAACTTAATTTAGGCCATTAATGCACTGCTTCACGTATTAGTCCACGTAAGTGGCTTTATATACAATGCTGAGAATATCCAAAGTCTCCTTTTGCAACAAAGCATTAACATTCCAGTCCAAGGAGTCCTGATTGGTCCCCACCCTGCAGAAGGTTCTGTTAAAAAATGAAGGAATTTTTCCGCGTCATATTTCCAGTGGAAAAGCTGTCCTTCAAGGGTTCAAAAAGAAATTGCACAATGAACTTGGGTACGGTCGTGTGTACCCTTCAAGAAAAAAAGAAAGAAAAAAGCCCTTCAGATGAGAAATGAGCATGAAAATTCAGTCAATAGGAACATGAATTTTGAGCGCCTTCACCCTGCAAACCTCCCACGTTTAGACACACTAGGAGATGAATTAAACTGAGAATTTTCTTCATTCGTGGATGTGACAGGGTGCCTTCATTTTCATGGTTAAGAGAAACAGGGATCTATCTTATGGCTTCCTGCCTACCTCCTATAAGAAATCTTCCTCCCCACCCCACTTGAAATACCTGCAGCAGGCAGGTATTTTCTTTAGCCACAGGAATACTTGATGACTATTGGACTACTATTTCCCCAGAGCACATTCCTTTCTCCTGATGAAATGAGGAGCAACTATTTAATGCTGGTTTCACCAGTAAATGTAATAACCCTCCTCTCCCCTCATCCTTATGTTGTTGTTGTTGTTATGTGCCATCCAGTCGGACCCGACTCATAGCGACCCCTCCTTGGGTTTCCGAGGCAGTATCACTACGGAAGTAGATTGCCCCATCTTCCTTCCGAGGAGTGGCAGGTGGGTTTGAAGCGCCAGCCTTCTGGTTATACTGTCCCTCTAATAGTTGTTTGGAAACAAGTGACATTCTCCTTTATTTAAGTACATATGTAGATGGTCTACATGTTCACTTATGAAAAAAACAGATTTATAAAGCCCCAAAGAAGTGCTTTCTTCTAAACACAGGCATAATTTTATATACTCTTAATGTAAATACACAAAAAGAGAATATTGCAAGGTTAGATAGAAAGCTGGAGGGGGCTAATGGGTATAAGCTATTATCTTGGAGCCAATCATATCAGTGCAGATAATGAAATGGATATGTAGGTATGTATAGAACTTTGGTTCCATTGGGTTTTCTTTTCCCCAGAGTTTTAAAAATAGCAAAATTAAAAACATAAGATTTGTCTCTGGCAAAGTTTAACAACACACACTCACATTTCTAAACCTGTACTTTTCCTAACTAGACTAAGATTAAATTTAAAATTTTAAGTTGTGACACAAAGGAACATCTTTTGGACTTCACTAAATCTCAGAAAGCCGTGCCCGGGTGTGTCAAATGCCACAGGTTTTGTTGGTGGTGCTTGGTATGATTGGCTTAAAGTTAGTAAGGTTGAGTTAATGTGGGGGGTGGGTTCAAAGGAATGTACCCTGCACATGATCAAGAGCACCCAGCAAAAAAGTGATCCTTAACTTGTGCAAAATTACACAATGGCAATAAGGAATATGATCTTATATTTTTTGTCCACGAATCAAGAGAGTACCAGGGGCTATGCAGTGTTTTTTTATTCTAAGACACTTATGTGATGTCAAAGCTGAAGTCACTAAAGACTTCTGGCACTGAAAATTCAAAATGGTATTAACTCAGCAATTACCAGCTTTTAGATAAACCTTATAAGCTACATTATTTCTACTCTGCAAAGAAGGAAATTGAGTTTGCCTATGACTCTTCCTTTTACATCAAAGTGCTTCTCTCACATTGTAACAATAAGCTGGGCTAGCCAAAGCCCATTGCCATAAAAGTGCTCCACACTACTCAAATTGACCTCAGTGAGAACCTGGGATGATACATTCATAGACTTGCTCGGAAGCCCTGGTGACCAGAATCATGTATACCCCCCTCCTCCAGACAAAGAGGTCTGCAGCCTTCTCTTAGATGCATTCTCGATGCTAATCAGACCCTTGCTGAACTGCAACACCCAGACTCTTAGAATTCACAATCACCCTGTGTTTACATGAAGCAAGGGTATCCAAGCATATTGTGCTATTCAGCCAAATTCCTTTTTAGGACTTGATACCTCTTTCTCCATGGCCTGTAGTGAAACAGTGGGTGGGCTGAGACGCACAGAGAAGCATGAGTGTTCACATGCCTTGGTCATTCTCTAGATGGAAGTAGTAGTTACTGGAGGAGGAACCTGCATTCTTTCAGGGCAAAAGAAACCACAGTGTACTCAGCAGCTGAAATGTCCCCTTGCTCCAGTAGAGTAAATTGGGCAATGTGGCAATTCAAGCTCAAGGCTGCTTTATCAGGCACTAGGTGTTACAAACTTAACTTGTGCCACCCTTGGGTTACTGATACCAGTCCCGGAAACACTGATAACCTCCTGATTTGCCTGGTCTTGGAAACACTTATAGGAAGAGGATGTTATATATTGAACATAGCTGGGCAGATGTGGCCATCAAAAATGCCCTATTTCAAGAGTTTTAAAAGTGCTCTGTTTAGATAAAAAGTTAGTGACCTTAATAAACCAGACAAAAGGGGGAAAAAAAAAAAAAAGAAACTAAAGCATATTTTATTTTTATGTTAGTAGATGAAAAGAGCATGTACTCTGGTCAGGCAACCTGAACTTCAATTTTGGCCCCTCAAATGACTAATTTTACATCATTAAGCTTCTTAACTCCCTGTGCCATTCAAGTACGAAATGAGGATAAAATCTGTATCTACTTTATAAAATTGTTGTCACTTGGCATATACATATTTCTTAGAACAATGCTTGGTGCATAAGTGTACAATCAATTTTAAAATTTAGTATGACTTTTTACAAATATTAATTCCCAGAGTATGGCTTGTCTTTTCATTCACTTAATAATCTCCATGAAGAGCAGAAGTTTTAAATTTTGACAATGTCCCATTTATCAATCTGTTCTGTTATGAATCATGCATTTGGTATTTGCACAACCCAAGGTAACAAAAGTTTTCTCCTAGAAGTTTTATAGTTTTAGGCAGAGTTGGCTTCATGGGTATGTGACTCAGGAGTCATACAGGGTGCTGCTGCTCTTAGAAGAAACCCAAGCTTGGGTTAATGCTCTGCTATTGGCATCTTAGCTATTTTTTTTTTTTTTTTTAATAAGGGGGCCTATACTTTCATTTGTACTAGGCTGTGCATATTATGGACCAGTCTGGGTTTTAGTATTTGTTTTTCTGTCAATGATCCACTTTTATATATGATGCCAGATAGGGACTGAGGTTAATTTTTTTCACATATCCATATTCACTTGTTAGGACATCATTTCTTGAGAAGTCTATCCTTTTTCCATTGAATTACCTTTGTATCTTTGTTGAACATCACTTGGGTATACGTGTGGATCTATCTCTGACCTCTGAATTCATCCCATTGGTCTTATTTGTCTGTCTCTATGTCACTACTAAGGAGTAGTGATGAAGTGATCAAAGCATTTGGCTGCTAACCTGAAGGTTTGAACCCACCAGCTGCTCTGTGGTAGAAAGATGAAGCAGTCTACTTCC